TTTGGGGGGCAGCAGCCTATAGATTTTTGGGTGGGGACAGCAGCCTATAGATTTGGGGGACTGGCCTATAGATTAGGGGAGTGAGGCTGGGGGAGCAGCAGCCTATAGATTAGGGGAGTGAGGCTGGAGGGCAGCAGCCTATGATTAGGGGAGTGAGGCTGGAGCGCAGCCTATTGCATTAGGGTGTGCACCCTAAGCACAAACACATATGTATGTATGTGTGTGTGTGTGTGTGTGTGTGTGTGTGTGTGTATATATATATATATATATATATATATATATATATACACTGCTGTGTGTGTGTGTGAGGGTGCTGGTAGTGTGCTATGTGGGTGAGGGTGTTTTTGTGTGTGTTTGTGAGAGTGCTGTTTGTGTGCTGTGTGTGTGTGTGAGAGACGGTGTTTGTGTGTGCGTGTTTGTTCGGGTCCTGTTAGTGTGCTGTTTGTGTGCTGTGTGTGGGTGTTGTGTGTTTGTCAGGGTGCTGTTTGTGTGTGAGTGTGCTGTTTGTATGTGGGTGCTGTGCGGGTGTTGTGTGTGGGTTTTGTGTGTTTGTGAGGATGCTGTTAGTGTGCTGGGTGTGTGTGGGTGTTGTATGTGTGTGGGTGCTGTGTATGTGTGGGTGCTGTTTGTGGGCTGTGTGTGCTGTATGTGTGTAGGTGCTGTGTGTGTGTGTGTGTGCTGTATGTTTGGGTGGAGGTGGGGGCAGATTAGTTAATATCCCAGTCCTGCTGCCTTCCCTGGTGGTTCAGTGGAGAGTGAACTCTAGCCCAGGTTCTCTGCTGCCTCCCTCCATGCTGCTGTGGACCGGTGAGGTAGAACTTTGATCTCCCCACCGGCCCATGGAGGCTTAGACCAGAGCCGCCGCTTGGATAGCGTCGGCTCTGCATGAGCCGACCGGGGAGATCCAGAGATCTCCCCTGCCGGTCTCAATCCATTGGCGTGCCGCGGGGATTAGGGTGTGCCCAGACACACCCCGTGTGCACGCCTATGAAGTGAGGGATGGGGGAGACAGCCTACATGAAGAGTCAGCAAGGAGCAGGAAGGTAAGGTAAGAAAAGGAGAAGGAACAGAAATGAGCAGGAAGGGACATCAAGGAGCAGAAAGGGGTAGCAAGGAGCTGGAAGGGACAGCAAGTAGCACAAAAGGTAAAGTAGGAGAAGGAGCACAAAGGAACAGAAATGAACAGGAAGGGTCAGCAAGGAGCTGGAAGGTAAAGCAGCACAAAGGTAAAGTAGAAGGAGCAGAAAGAGTCAGAAATTAGCTGGAAGGGGCAGAAGGAGCACAAACGTAAAGTAGGAGAATGAGCAGGAAGGGGCAGCAAGGAGCAGGAAGGGGCACCAAGGAGCAGAAAGGGACAGCAAGGAGCACAAAGGTAAAGGAACAGAAAGAATCAGAAGGAGCACAAAGGTAAAGTAGGAGAAAGAGCAGAAAGGGACAGCAAGGAGCACAAAGGTAAAGTAGAAAAGGGAGCAGAAAGGGATCAGAATGAGAAAGGAGCAGAAGGGCGCAAAATAAGCAGAAAGTAGCAGAAAGGTAAAAGAGCAGAAGGGGCCAAGGATAGAAAACAGTGTCAGAAGAAAAAGAAGACTGTCAAATGAAGGAGAGGAAAAGGAGATTGGAGCAGGAAGGGCAAATGAACCCTCCACTTTATTCTGGACACCACATCATAAGGCTTTGGTACCTGGGCCAGCCAGGGAAACGCTGGACCTTCTCATCTACAAAGGTAAAAAAATATCAGTATTAATGTGCTCACTTTTATTTACTGAGTGTCAGGAAGCACAGAGTGCCGTTGGGTAGGGGTGTTGCTGATTGGCTAGAGTGGTCCACTGGCACTCTAAGCCAATCAGTAGCTCCCCATTCATAAAAAATATTTTATGAACCGGGAACTAGCGATTGGCTTAGAGCGTCAACTGTCCATTCTAGCCAATCAGCTGCACCCATGCCTGTCGTCAATCTGCATTTCAGAAGCCAAATACTACTGAGCAACCTGGAGCTGGAGGAAGCCTTTGGGGTTAAACCATTTGAGAGTGATTTAACCCCTTAAAGGAAAGCGAGCACCCAGGGGCTTCCAGGCATCATAGCATTTTCATTTAGGTGAAGTTGTTATGGTGACCAGAATGGTCCTTTAATTTGCTTAAAGGAACACTATAGTGTCAGGAATACAAACATATATTCCTGACAACATAGTTGTGAAAACGCTATTCACCCTGGCTTTATGTGATAATGGCTATGCCCCTTCCCTTTCATGACACTGTCAAAAAGGTGGATGTCATTACAATTATGCCCCCCCCTGGAAAAATTCCTGCGGACGCCCATGGTGGTGGCCACTGTAGAATTTTCCTTATTCTGCAAACAAGCATTTGTAGAATTTGAGGTATGCTTGGGATCACTATCTTGTTAGAAGGTCTAGTGACACCCAAGCTTCAACTTCCTCACAGACGGCATGACATTTTCTCCTACGATTTCCTGAACTTTAATGAATCCATCTTGCCTTCCACACGTTGCAGGTTCCCAGCCTAGCATCACCGAGCCACCACCATGCTTAACTGTAGACATCCTTCTTCCTCCAGAGATACCACTGATCTATTGGGCCGAAAAGTTCCAGTTTTGTTTCATTGCTCCACAGAACAGAATCACAAAACGTCTGTGGCTTATATATATGATTTAGAGCAGATTGGATACAAATTTTCTTGTGCTTTTGGGTCAGTAGTGGCGTACATCTTGGAGTTCTGGCATGGAAACCTTCTGCGTTTAGGACGTGCCTTACTATGCTCACTGAATTTTCAATGCCTGTTGCCACCACGTCTTGCTGCAGGTCTTCTGCAGTCCCTCAAGGGTTTTTCACAACCTGCATTCTCAGAAATCTGGCTGCAGCCATTGATAGCTCCTTTTTTCTGCCCGTCCAAGTAGTGTAACCATTGTTACTTCAACTATGAACTTGCAAACTATTCTTCCAACAGCTAGAAACATTCAGCACACCTGATGGAACTAATGAAGCCCTTGATTAGCTGCATCAGGTGTGCTTGTGACAACATCTGTTTTGCATATTTGTGCTGTTATGAGGGATTCTGTTCAGGGGGTTGAATAATTCTGAGACTGGAGAAGTCATTATAAATTGCATTTTCAGCTACATTTGTAGAAACCACTTGAAGCATCCATATGCTTCTTTGCATCCAAATGCTCTCTGTCTCTGTGCCGAGAGTGACACTGCTCTCTGTCTCTGTGCCGAGAGTGGACTGCTCTCTGTCTCTGTGCCGAGAGTGGCACTGCTCTCTGTCTCTGTGCCGAGAGTGGCACTGCTCTCTGTCTCTGTGCCGAGAGTGGCACTGCTCTCTGTCTCTGTGCCGAGAGTGACACTGCTCTCTGTCTCTGTGCCGAGAGTGGCACTGCTCTCTGTTTCTGTGCTGTGTGTGGCACTACTTCATGTCTCTGTGCTGAGGGTGGCACTGTCTCTGTGCTGTTAGTGGCACTACTCTCTGTCTCTGTGCTGAGAGTGAGACTGTTAGCTGTCTCTGTGCTGTGTGTGGCACTGCTCTCTGTCTCTGTGCTGAGAGTGGCACTGTCTCTGTGCCGAGAGTGGAACTGCTCTCTGTCTCTATGCCGAGAGTGACACTGCTTTCTGTCTCTGTGCCGAGAGTGGCACTGCTCTCTGTCTCTGTGCCGAGAGTGGCACTGCTCTCTGTCTCTGTGCTGAGAGTGGCACTGCTCTATGTCTCTGTGCCGAGAGTGGCACTGCTCTCTGTCTCTGTGCCGAGAGTGACACTGCTCTCTGTCTCTGTGCCGAGAGTGACACTGCTCTCTGTCTCTGTGCCGAGAGTGACACTGCTCTCTGTCTCTGTGCCGAGAGTGGCACTACTTCATGTCTCTGTGCTGAGAGTGGCACTGTCTCTGTGCTGTTAGTGGCACTACTCTCTGTCTCTGTGCTGAGAGTGAGACTGTTAGCTGTCTCTGTGCTGTGTGTGGCACTGCTCTCTGTCTCTGTGCTGAGAGTGGCATTGTCTCTGTGCTGAGAGTGGCACTGCTCTCTGTCTCTGTGCCGAGAGTGACACTGCTCTCTGTCTCTGTGCCGAGAGTGGCACTGCTCTCTGTCTCTGTGCTGAGAGTGACACTGCTCTCTGTCTCTGTGCTGAGAGTGACACTGCCCTCTGTCTCTGTGCTGTGTGTGGCACTACTCCTTGGCTGTGTGCTGAGAGTGGCACTGTCTCTGTGCTGTTAGTGGCAATACTCTCTGTCTCTGTGCTGAGAGTGGCACAGTCTGTGTGCTGTTAGTGGCACTACTCTCTGTCTCTGTGCTGAGAGTGAGACTGTTAGCTGTCTCTGTACTGCGTGTGGCACTGCTCTCTGTCTCTGTGCTGAGAGTGGCACTGCTCTCTGTCTCTGTGCTATGAATTGCACTGTTCTCTGTCTCTGTGCTGTGTGTGGCACTGCTCTCTGTCTCTGTGCTGAGAGTGGCACTGTCTCTGTGCTGTTAGTGGCACTGCTCTCTGTCTCTGTGCTGAGAGTGACACTGCTCTCTGTCTCTGTTTTGTGTGTGGCACTGCTCTCTGACGCTGTGCTGAGAGTGACACTGCTCTCTGTCTCTGTGCTGAGAGTGCCAATCTCTGTGCTGTTAGTGGCACTGCTGTCTGTCTCTGTGCTAAGTGGCACTGCTGTCTGTCTCTGTGCTGTTAGTGACACTGCTCTCTGTCTCTGTGCTGAGAGTGCCAATCTCTGTGCTGTTAGTGGCACTGCTGTCTGTCTCTGTGCTAAGTGGCACTGCTGTCTGTCTCTGTGCTGTTAGTGGCACTGCTGTCTGTCTCTGTGCTGTGAGACACGTTTCTTAGTTTGTTCAGTTAGACTGTCACCGGACAGATTCCTGCTAGTGAAAAATATCTATATATAATTAATGATTTCCTACATTCTAACCCATGGCCTTATTCCCCTCCCCATTTTATGTCCCGTTGCCCGGCCTCTCCCCCTCCCCATATCCCTGAGCCGAGCCTCCCGCCCTCCCCATGTAACTGAGCCCTGCCTCCCCTTCTCCCTGTGTACTTCCCCCAGAGCATAAAAGAGAGCAGTGTAGGGTGCAGAGTCTGCTGAACTGCAGAGACAGAGCTCCTCTAACACACCTCTTCAATATGGGTGAGATCGCAGTGTCTTCTTCCTCCCTCCACTTTATACACAGCAGACACATTAATCATTGATCCTGCAGGCAGTAGCACTCTGCATACTTCTTATATACAGGCACTCAGTGTAAAATAAATAACACATTGCACGTTTTCTGTAGGGGTAGGTAAATAATAACTACTTAATAGGGAATAGTAAACCTTCTACACCTTATATAGGGACTTCCCAATAGGGAAAAGCACACTGCATACACTTTATTTGAGGAGAGACAGAAAATAGGCAATAATACTCCCCACACACATTCTATAGGGGCAGAAAATAGAACACTCTCCAAAAGACAATAATACCCTATTATACCTAATACAAGGGAAGTGAGGGGTGAGACACCCCAATACAGCATAGCACGCTGTATGCACCTTATATAAGGGAACAGAACACCCCTAAACAGGACTCTGTTATACCTAGTTATACCTAATACAAGGGACCTGAGGGGTGAGACACCCCAATACAGCATAGCACGCTGTATGTACCTTATATAAGGGAACAGAACACCCCTAAACAGGACTCTGTTATACCTAGTTATACCTAATACAAGGGACCTGAGGGGTGAGACACCCCAATACAGCTTAGCACGCTGTATGTACCTTATATAAGGGAACAGAACACCCCTAAACAGGACTCTGTTATACCTAGTTACACCTAATACAAGGGACCTGAGGGGGTGAGACACCCCAATACAGCTTAGCACTCTGCATGCACCTTATATAAGGGAACAGAACACCCCTAAACAGGGCTCTATTATACCCAATTACACCTAATACAAGGGACCTGAGGGGTAAGACACCCCAATACAGCATAGCACGCTGTATGTACCTTATATAAGGGAACAGAACACCCCTAAACAGGACTCTGTTATACCTAGTTATACCTAATACAAGGGACCTGAGGGGTGAGACACCCCAATACAGCTTAGCACTCTGCATGCACCTTATATAAGGGAACAGAACACCCCTAAACAGGACTCTGTTATACCTAGTTATACCTAATACAAGGGAAGTGAGGGGTGAGACACCCCAATACAGCATAGCACTCTGCATGCACCTTATATAAGGGAACAGAACACCCCTAAACAGGACTCTGTTATACCTAGTTACACCTAATACAAGGGACCTGAGGGGTGAGACACCCCAATACAGCATAGCACTCTGCATGCACCTTATATAAGGGAACAGAACACCACTAAACAGGACTCTGTTATACCTAGTTACACCTAATACAAGGGACCTGATGGGTGAGACACCCCAATACAGCATAGCACTCTGCATGCACCTTATATAAGGGAACAGAACACCACTAAACAGGATTCTATTATACCTAGTTATACCTAATACAAGGGACCTGAGGGGTGAGCCACCCCAATACAGCATAGCACTCTGCATGCACCTTATATAAGGGAACAGAACACCCCTAAACAGGACTCTGTTATACCTAGTTACACCTAATACAAGGGACCTGAGGGGTGAGACACCCCAATACAGCATAGCACTCTGCATGCACCTTATATAAGGGAACAGAACACCCCTAAACAGGATTCTATTATACCTAGTTATACCTAATACAAGGGAAGTGAGGGGTGAGACACCCCAATACAGCTTAGCACTCTGCATGCACCTTATATAAGGGAACAGAACACCCCTAAACAGGACTCTGTTATACCTAGTTACACCTAATACAAGGGACCTGAGGGGTGAGACACCCCAATACAGCATAGCACGCTGTATGTACCTTATATAAGGGAACAGAACACCCCTAAACAGGACTCTGTTATACCTAGTTATACCTAATACAAGGGACCTGAGGGGTGAGACACCCCAATACAGCATAGCACGCTGTATGTACCTTATATAAGGGAACAGAACACCCCTAAACAGGACTCTGTTATACCTAGTTATACCTAATACAAGGGACCTGAGGGGTGAGACACCCCAATACAGCTTAGCACGCTGTATGTACCTTATATAAGGGAACAGAACACCCCTAAACAGGACTCTGTTATACCTAGTTACACCTAATACAAGGGACCTGAGGGGGTGAGACACCCCAATACAGCTTAGCACTCTGCATGCACCTTATATAAGGGAACAGAACACCCCTAAACAGGGCTCTATTATACCCAATTACACCTAATACAAGGGACCTGAGGGGTAAGACACCCCAATACAGCATAGCACGCTGTATGTACCTTATATAAGGGAACAGAACACCCCTAAACAGGACTCTGTTATACCTAGTTATACCTAATACAAGGGACCTGAGGGGTGAGACACCCCAATACAGCTTAGCACTCTGCATGCACCTTATATAAGGGAACAGAACACCCCTAAACAGGACTCTGTTATACCTAGTTATACCTAATACAAGGGAAGTGAGGGGTGAGACACCCCAATACAGCATAGCACTCTGCATGCACCTTATATAAGGGAACAGAACACCCCTAAACAGGACTCTGTTATACCTAGTTACACCTAATACAAGGGACCTGAGGGGTGAGACACCCCAATACAGCATAGCACTCTGCATGCACCTTATATAAGGGAACAGAACACCCCTAAACAGGACTCTATTATACCTAGTTATACCTAATACAAGGGAAGTGAGGGGTGAGACACCCCAATACAGCTTAGCACTCTGCATGCACCTTATATAAGGGAACAGAACACCCCTAAACAGGACTCTGTTATACCTAGTTACACCTAATACAAGGGACCTGAGGGGTGAGACACCCCAATACAGCATAGCACTCTGCATGCACCTTATATAAGGGAACAGAACACCCCTAAACAGGATTCTATTATACCTAGTTATACCTAATACAAGGGAAGTGAGGGGTGAGACACCCCAATACAGCTTAGCACTCTGCATGCACCTTATATAAGGGAAGGGAAGAGAAAACCCCTAAACAGGACTCTATTATACCTAATTTAGGGGACCTGAGGGCGTGAGCCACCCCAATATGATGTAGCCCTCTCCTTACACCTTATGTAGAGATCAGGAGATTTTTGTTAACATGCTCCTTTTGGTATTTATTCACTAAAAGCCAAAATGAATTATAAACGACAAAATTTGTTGACTGTATGAGTTGGGAAAAAATCTGCCATTTTGCTGATGTTGTACAATTCTGCTAATTACATTTTGATAAATCACCCCAATAGAGAATAGATCTCCATAGGAGTGCCCAGGGGGTGTGTCGGGTGTGCCTGGCTCTCTCTAATACTGAGCCCAATTATCTGCCCTGTCCCTTGTTTTTGTACCTAAGGACACTTTTGTATGAATTTGGGTTACTTGATATATTTTAATTTCAAGAAGCAATAATGATGACTAGGTACAAGTAGGATATTGTGGTTTCAAAACATACATTTTTTTCAAATGTATCAATAGTGACATTGTAACACTATTATCTGTCATAAATCTCTGAATAACACCCCACATGTACATATTTTTTTTTAAAGTAGACAGCCCAGGGTATTCAATATGGGGTATGTCCAGTTTTTAGTAGCCACCTAGTCCAAACACTGGCCAAAGTTAGCGTTCATATTTGTATGTGTGTGAAAAAAGTAAAAAACTAAATTGAATGCTAATTTTGGCCAGTGTTTGTGACTAAGTGGCTACTAAAAAAGACTGGACATACCCCATTTGCAATACCTTGGGTTGTCTTCTTTTGCAAATGTTATGCCATCATGGGGGTAATTCTCATTCCTGGGCTACCATACGCTCTCAAAGGCAACGTAACCAACCTGGCCATTTTCAATGTAAAAATATTTGACCCTGTAACTTTCTAAAACGCTATAAAATCTGTACTTGGGGAGTACTGTTATACTCGGGAGACTTTGCTGAACACAAATATTAGTGTTTCAAAACAGGAAAACGTATCAAAACAATTATCAGTAAAAGTGCTGTTTGTGTGTGAAAAATGCGAAAAAAGTAACTTTCACTGACAATATCATCGCTGTGATATGTTTTACTATTTTGAATTACTAATATTTGTGTTCAGCGAAGTCTCCCGAGTAAAACGGTACCCCCCATGTACAGGTTTTAGGGTGTCATAGAAAGTTACAGGGTAAAATACAGTGCTAGCAAATTAAATTCTCTGGACTTTCGGCCTGGGTTGTCAGGCAGGTCCCTCAAATTGCAATTAATAAAATTACTTAATTATTTAAAAATATTACATAAATACGCACGTAGAATTTAAATATATATGCATATTTATATATTTGAAGTCTACGTGTATATTTATATAATTATTTATGTAATTTTGTAAATGGACATATGTATATTTCGTATTTTTATTTATTTATATATACACAGATATATATACAATTTCACTCTAAGTGTATTTTGATATAAATATATATATGTTAATATCAAAATACAGTTAGAATAAAATTTCATATAGATATATAATTTTTTTAAATTTGTATTATTTTAAATTTTTTAATTTAATTTAATCTATTTATTATTTGTATTTTATAATAATATATATACAATATATATAGTTATTATATATTATATATACGTGTGTAATTTAATTATAAGTGGGTTTTTATATTAATATATGTACATATTAATATAAAAATACACTTAGTATGACATTATATATATCATATATATATATATATATATATATATATATATATATATATATATATATATATATATATACACATATATAATTTTTTAAAATTTCTTTATTAACATTAACTTTATTTTGTATTTTTTTTAAACTAGCAGGGAGACTGCCTGTCAGCACAGGCAGTCCCCCTGCAGGCAGACACATGGACACCTATTGTGACCATGTGATCGCTCTGTTGAGCCACAGGGATCCTAATCCGCCATGGGGAGAATGTCTGGGCTGCAGGCAGTCTCCCCACAACGGGAGCACCGCCGATCGCCACCGGGGGAACGACGGCGATCGTGTAAGTACATTGGACCGTTAGGACGGTCCTGAAGGGGTTAAAAGGCTTCTCTGTATTGTAACTGTTATTATAATCTTAATAAAATGTTAATAGCTCGTCTAATGTTATCACAGGGCTATTAACTATATAGTGCATTGTCGGGTATTCAAAGTGGATTCATATCTTAGGCAAAAACAGACCAACTGGACATATTCGCAGTGTTTTTGTTTTGTTTTTTGCCTAAAAACAGTAATTGAATTTGAATTCCTGACAGTTTACAATATAGTATAGGGGTATTCTCATTGAAGGTTAATCACTAAAGTGAGAATTAAAATGAATTTAAATCCAAGGTAAAAATAGCCGAATTGGAAACACTCTCTAAGTCAGGTAAACTGCCAGCTTGGCTACTTTGGCCTTAAAATTCACTTTGAATCCACACTTTACTGAATAACGACACTGTAGGAAGTGTAACTGCTTCGTCTCATTGAAGTGGTTATAGTGTTTGGAGTCCCCTGGTGCCGTCCTTCCTTTTAGTGTTAACCCCTTAAGAATGGCGGGCGTGCTATGCCGTCCTTGGGGACAAGGCTCTAAACGCCGGCGGGCAGCATAGCGCATCCACGTCGTCCTATGTACTTACCTGCTTCCGGCGATCGCGATGGGGGGACTTGCCTGGCATCCCAGGGAGTGCCCCTGCTGCTGATCTGGCCCTCCTGGGCCAGCCGTCCATAGCACTGCCAGCAGTGGGTATACATACATACATATATATATATATATATATATATATATATATATATATATATATATATATATATATATATATATATATATATATATATATATACATACATACACACACTTACACATACACTAAGTGTATTTTAATATTAATATATTTATAAAACACATGTAGAATGATGTTAATTAAATATATATATATATATAATTATAATTATATACATGTAAATATAAAATAAATAAATCTATAAATACGTTCAAAATGAAAAATAACTGTATGTATATTGATATCAAAATACACTTAGAATGAAATAATATATATATCTATATACATAAATATATCACTGACGATATAATTGATACGTTTTACGGTTTTGAAACACTAATATTTGTGTTCAGTGAAGACTCCCGAGTATAACAGTAACCCCCATGTACAGGTTTTATGGTGTTTTCAAAAGTTACAGAGTCAAATATAAGGCTTATGTTTCAGTTTTTTCACATTGAAATTCACCAGATTGGTTAGGTTGCCTTTGAGACCGTATGGTAGCCTTGGAATGAGAATTACCCACATGATGGCATACCATTTGCAAAAGTAGACAGCCCAATGTATTGCAAATGTGATATGTCCAGTTTTTTTTAGTAGCCACTTAGTCACAAACACTGGCCAAAATTGGCGTTCAAATTAGTTTTTTGCATTTTTTACACACAAACAAATATTAACACTAACTTTGGCCAGTGTTTTTGACTAAGTGGCTACTAAAAAAGACTGGACATACCCCGTTTGCAATACCTTGGGTTGCCTACTATTGCAAATGGTATGCCATCCTGGGGATAATTCTCATTCCTGGGCTACCATACGGTCTCAAAGGCAACGTAACCAATCTGGCGAATTTCAATATAAAAAAACTGAAAGATGTAACATGCTATATTTGAAAATGTAACCTCCCAAAACACCATAAAACCTGTACATAGGGGGTACTGTTTTACATGTGAGACATCGCTGAATACAAATATGTGTATTTTGTTGCAGTAAAAGCTAACAGTATTATGACATTCACAGTTGGAATTTCACGTAGAACTAACAAAAATAACATTTCTTATTTTCTCCCATTGTTTTATATAATTCAAATAAAATTGTTTAAGAGTTAAATATTTGATGTTAAATGAAATCCCTATTTCTCCTGAATAAAATGATATATAATAAGTGTGGGTGCACTTAATATGAAAGAGGCGAATTACGGTTGAACAGACATATAGTCAAATTCCAAGTTTTGTTTATGTATTATTTTGATCAAAACGTGTACATTTAGCTCAGTCCTTAAGGGGTTAAACTGTTTTTAATGTTTGTATGCTAGACAAGAGTCCCCATCATCCAACCTCCTCTGTGCAGCCTGTGGTAATGAAGTAGTATTAGCCTGAGCAGCAATGGGTGGCTGTGATTGACGTGACAGTGTCATCTGACTGCTGTCAGCCTAGTACAGGGGTAGGCAACCTACGGCACTAGTGCCATGCACGGCACTCAAGGTGTCTTTGCACGGCACTCAAGGCTGCTACTGCCAAACAGGCTCTGGCCTATCAGGAGTCCAAGTGAAACTTCAGATATCTGCTAATACGAAAAGGTGGTGAAGGACAATCCTCAATTTATGCATTGCAGAATGTAGAGGAAGTGATCTCAGATCACTTGGCATTTTTTAGCCAGAATAACTAAACAGGAAAGAAATCTGTAACCAATATTTTGGAATAAAATGTGCAACTCATGTGGTAGTTCTCCTCAATTTTTGGTTTAATAAATAACAAAGAGAGAGAATTTCACCAACTACATGGACTTTTTCTTTTTAATAGTCACATTTTGGCAATTTTAGATCAAAATAGCCGATATGAAACGTTTTCCTACTTCATTTGCAAAAATTTCCTGGTCAATTCTCCATGATTCCCATTTTAGTAAATACCTCTGTATCTCTACTTTATTAGTATATTTATTGTCTTTCCATGTAGTTATAGATCACTATCTGCCAGCTGATTCCCATAATATAATTTCCTCTCTTATCCCTGTTTCTGCAGTTAAATGATCTGTGTAAAATATTTGTTTATATCTGAAACGTAGCCAGCTGCATTCTTCACAGTCCCGAGGAATTGTTAGTAAACAGTAATAAATAATATTGCTGGAGACATTAAATCTCTCAATATCGCGTCCCTATGCATTACCCCCTCTGGTTGCGCAAACCATTGCGTAATTAATAACCCAATCGCGTTGCTTTTATAGTTAATGAATTTCATAATTACAGATTTGTTTTGCGTATGCATATAGTTATTGTTTGTTAAGCAGATAATAAATTATGAATTGAAGATGGTTCACAAGATTCTTTTGATTTAATCAGTTTTTGAACTTTGGACAAGAATTACTCTTCATAGATAATTCCTATTGAATCTGGCTATGTTTTCCATACTGCTCCTTTAAATGGTGATTATGTTGGGCTACTTTATATATAATTGAAGATGTAGCCACGCTTCCTGCCTGTGACAGCATTTAGCTTACTGATACACAATACTATGTGACCGATTATGGCCCTTAAAAAGTAAGGGCTAATATTCACACTTCAAAGTCTGATATGAGGCTATCCTGCTCCCTACCTTGAAATGTTCATGTTAAGTGGTAAATTTTGGCACATTTCTTAGTGATGTCCAAAGCTAAGCTAACACCGTGTTTGCCAGGTCTACTGGTTTTCAAAAACAAATATCACTTTATTCTGAAGGCCCTGTACAATTACAATGCTGCAAAATAAGCATACACTAACTTTACTTAACTTTAGTTGAATGTGCTTATTTCTATATCTGGACATAACCAAAATGTGCAAGCATACATACACTGTAACTGGTTGCAAATAAAGGGACACTCCACTGACCAAATAAAAAATAAATAGTAAGAAGATATACCCCCAGTAAAAACATGCCTGCATTTATTTATGCTTTTTTATTTGGGGTATGTCTAAAACAGCTTGCAAACGCTGCAGATCTCTTGTCTGCAGCCTTTGCAAGTCCTCCCCTTCTAACCCTGCCCAGACTTTATGTTGCTGTCCAATCACAGACTTCTCAATGCAGTTCAATGAGAAGTATTTGCATCACAGATGATCTGAGCAATTGCTGCCTCTTGAGTTTATCTCCACTGAGCTAACCGAAACAGGACATGTTGTCTGATTGACAGTCGGCAAGTGTAAAAAGGTTACTTTAGAAAAATGCCAATTTCTCTTGAAATCTGCTTTTTTTTATTAAATGAAAAAAAGAGCTCACACTCTTCTCACTTAAAGCATTTCAACAAACTAATGTGCTTAAAGCTAAGAAAGTATACTGAATTTGTCTAAAGTGCAAACTGTTTTTTTTTAAGAGTACATGTTTACAGAAACATTGTCATCCCAAACCTCTAGAATTAGTGCAGTAATTAATACATTGTTTGGCATACACAGTTTACAAACAATCCAAATAAATATCAATTTCAGCCCTGAGGGTCTCACTGAACAGGAATTCTTTCTTTAGTCAGCCTTGTTCTGGTATGGGGGGGTACTCTGACGGTGTTGTAGGGCTGAGGTTGCAAATTAATAAATCCTTAAAGGACCACTATAGTGCCAGGAAAACATACTCGTTTTCCTGTCACTATAGTGCTCAGGGTCCCCCTCCCGCCCAGCTCTGGAAGGGGAAAAGGGGTAAAACTTACCTTTTTCCAGCGCTGGGCGGGGAGCTCTCCTCCTTCTCTCCTCCTCCGTTCCGCCCCGTCGGCTGAATGCGCACGCACGGCAAGAGCTGCGCACGCATGCAGCCGGTCGCATAGGAAAGCATTCATAATGCTTTCCTATGGACGCTGGCGTGCTCTCACTGTGATTTTCACAGTGAGAAGCACGCAAACGCCTCTAGCGGCTGTCAATGAGACAGCCGCTAGAGGATTTGGGGGAAGGCTTAACCCATTAATAAACATAGCAGTTATTCTGAAACTGCTATGTTTATAAAAAAAAAATGGGTTAACCCTAGAAGGACCTGGCACCCAGACCACTTCATTAAGCTGAAGTGGTCTGGGTGCCTAGAGTGGTCCTTTAAACATTAATGCACACTATAGTCACCCGAACAACTACAGCTTATTGTATTTGCTCTGGTGAGTAGAATCATTCCCTTCAGGCTAGGTAAATCGACCAATATTGATTTTTTTTTTTAGAGCCCATACCGATAATCTATGAACTTTCAGGCCAATAGCCGATAGTTTACCGATATTCTGTACATTTACCATTTAGAAAAAAAAATACAAATTGTTTTGCAAATTTTCTTTGTTTTATTAAGTGGTAAATGCACAAAATATACATGCCAGTCAGATTTTTGTTTTTTATATTTTCAAGAATATTTATATTCTTAATGTTCCTCTCCCTTATCTTTTAGTGCCCCCCCCCCCACCACCACAGTGTTCCTTTTCCCTTTCCTGTACCTTAGTGCCCTCCCTTAATATTCCTCTCTCTCTCCCCCCAGTGTTCTTTTCCCCCTCTCTCGTCCCATAAATGGTCAATCCCTACTTCAGTTTTTTTGCAGAAAAAGCAGTGTTTACATTATATCCTAGGGATACCTCCTCCGCTGCTAGAGGTGCTTCCTGAGGCAGTGCTGCACATTGTGACTGACATTCTTTGTCTCCACCCTCTGCATGCAGACACTGATCTTTCCTCATAGAAATGCATTGATTCCATGAATCTCTATGAGGAGATGCTGATTGGCCAGGACTGTGTTTGACTTGTGCTGGCTCTGCCCCTGATCTGCCTCCTTGACAGTCTTAGCCAATCCTAGAGAAAAGCATTCTGATTTGCTCAGAGAATCACTTCTGATGATGTCAGCCAAGCAGGCAGATCAGGGGCAGAGCCATCAGCTGCAGACTTGAATACAAGTAACATTTTACTATATTTAGGAAGGCAAGGGAGGGTCAGGGGGGCTAGATGGTGGTTTTAACACGATAGTGTCAGGAATACATGTTTGTGTTCCTGACCCTATAGTGCTCCTTTAAATTGTTGTGCATTGAAAAAATGCTTGCAAAATTCAGGCCTAACTAGCTACATAGAAAAATAAAAACGAATTGGACAATTTCTCCAGTTTAGGTACTTTGTCTTGAAGTTGTATAATTAGATTTTTAATTCACTGTTTAGTGAAAAACTCCTTTTAAGTGTCCTGTGCCTATCTCACTGAGGTGCACACCCTGCCTGGCGCTTGTCCTGCAGCAGCCCTAATCAGTCTTAGCCCAGCTGTAATCTGTTGTTTTGTGTAAGAAGGTTTAGGGGCCCAATGTGTACGTCTTTTGTCTGCCTTCCTTCAGCTGCCCAAGGCTGGCGGCTCCCTTCTCTACCCAGCCCTCCCTGCTATACCATGGATATCTGCCAGCACTGTGTCGAAATCCGACCATCCTAAACATGTTACTGTAATGAGTGTTATTAAATGTGACAATGTTGCAGTATTTCATATCCTATTATTACGCAAAACTGTGGCAGGATGTATACCAGCAAGTTGTCCATTTGGCTCCTTTCAGAAGAATTAAAGGAATATAAATGCTGTGGAGAGCAGATCAGTAAAAACTATTGCTTCTTGTTGTAACTTTATGGAATCTTTGCCAACTAACAAATCATGTGATCTCTGTTTGCATTGTGGATTCTAAAACCAAGCAGTCGATGCTAATAAACTAAGCAGGATGTACTGTGCTGAGATAAAAAGTTACAAACTTCAGGCCATGATAGAATGTCTGTGACCAGTGTGAGCTGTCTACTATGTCAATGCTTTGTTGATTGGGGTCGTGATTGCTTTTAAATAACTCCCATTTGACATGTGCCTGTCTGTTAATGTTATGTGTATCGAAGATACAAACCAGTAATGTCTGCTACGTGTTTTTCTTTTTGTTTGCATACGGACATTGCTACAGGGATATCATGCCTGGATCAAAGCTTCAATACAGGCCCAGCAAGCCATGGGAGTACGGGTTAGCTTAGATCAGGGCTTGACAAATTTGTTTGGTATCTAGCTAAAAAATTTAGGAGCCAGGTTCTTTTTAAACTAACAAAGTTAATTTTCAACAAGAAAAATGCAATTCTTAAAGGGACACTAAAGTCATAAGAACCAGCTTAATGTAGTTTTTCTGGTGTCCATAGCCTGTACCTAAAGGCTTTTCAATGTAAACTCTGCTGCCGAGTAACACCTCTAGTGACAGTCCCTCAGACGACCACTAGAGAGTCCTGGGTCAGTGCTCTACAGTGTGCAGCACCTACGTTCAGCGTCTCCACACTCTGCATGGAGGTGCTGAATGTTCCCCATAGAGATGCATTAATTCAGTGTATCTCTATGAGGATATGCTGATTGGCACAGCATGGCCTCCCAATGCTTTCCTATGGGAAAGCATTCGCTTAGCTGAGATCATAAAGATTGATGATCTCAGCGATGGAAGCAAGACCAGCTGTGGCGAAATTGGCACGGCGCGGGGAAAAAACACCTTTCTAATGTGATCGTAGGGGGCAGGTACTTAAACAGACACACACTCTCTGATAGAGACACATACACACACTGATAGAAACACATTCACTGACACAGACACACACACATTTTCTCTCATACTAACAATTCTCATTTTTATTTTAATTTAAATCCACCCCGCCCCCTACCTTTGGGAGAGCCATGTGGGAGTCATGTAGGGCTACTCTCTTATCTTCCTGCAGTTCCTCTCTGCTCCCTGGCACGCTCTGTAGTGGTCGGAGTTAGGGATCGACCGATATTGATTTTTTTAGAGCTGATACCGATAATCTGTGAACTTTCAGGCCGATAGCCGATAACTTGCCGATATTCTGTACATTTACTATTTTGAAAAATAAACTATTTCTAAAGTTTAATGCTCAAAATATACATGCCACGTGTAGTGGATGCAGTGTGTTTAGACAGGGGAGCTGTGTGTGTTTGTGTAGTGTGTGTGTAGTGGATGCAGTGTGTATTTGTGTAGTGTATATATAATGAATGCAGAGTGTGTGTTTGTGTAGTGTGTGTATAGTGAATGTAGTGTGTGGTATGTGTAAAGTAAATGCAGTGTGTGCGTAAAGTGAATGCAGTGTGTGTGTAGTGTGCGTAAAGAGAATGCAGTGTGTTTGTGTAGTGTGTGTATATACTAAATGCAAAGTGTGTGTGTTTATGTTGTGACTGTGTATAGTGAATGCAGTGTGTGTATATAATGCAGTGTGTTTGTGTAGTGTGCATTATATAAACACACTACACAAACACACTGCATTTTATACACTCACTACACAAACACACTGCTTTATATACACACTACACAAACATACACACTGCATTACATATACACTGCATTCACTATACACACAAACACACACACACTGCATTATATAAACACACTACACAAACACACTGCTTCTTACTTGGTCAGGGAGGGGGGATACAGCATTCCCTGATTGTCCAGTGACATGGAAAGTACAGAGGGGGCCCGCAGCAAGTGCTTACTTACCTTCCCTTCAGCTTCCCTGTGTAAATCTTGCGGCCAGGGTGCCATACAGAGTGTTGCCATGGTAACACGTGGCAACGCTCTGACGGCCGCGGGACTCGCGAGATTTACACAGGGAAACTGAAGGGAAGGTAAGTAAGCGCTTGCTGCGGGCCCCCAGGACCGCCGGGCTTGTAATTGGCGCGGCGGTCCTGGTAGGCAATATCGGCATCTTTATTGGCCGATACCGATATTGCCGAAAACACTGAATATCGGACGATATCGGCCAGACCGATAATCAGTCGATCCCTAGTCGGAGTGACATCATATTCCGGCTACCAGCACCACTAAACAGCTCGCGAGGGAGCAGAGAGGAACTGGGGAAGGTTACTGCTCCCTCGTGCGCTGGACGGCTCCAATACTCCCCACGGCAGCTGGCTTCAATGATTCCTCGGACAGCTACCTTAGCTATGGGCTGACAAATCCCCTGGGTTTTGTCGAGCCCTGGCTTAGATGCTTCTCACTGTCCTGATAATTGTGTGTATACTGATCTCATGCAGAGCACAGTATGTGCATACATGCTCTGTACCAGTTGTTGAGCATTGCATTGTCTTACATGCTCTGCACTGGCACAGTAGTTAATTGCGGAGCACAGTATTCATTTTATGCTCTTTACTGACCCAGTAATTCATAGCATCAAATCCGTAATTAATTGAAAATCACAATATAAATGCAGTTGCTCCATACAGACCCAATAACTATTTACACAGCACAGTATGTATCAGATCCTCTGTGCATTCTAGTAATTCACTGCAGAGCATGGTATTACCCAGGTGCACTGCACTGATCCTGTAACTAATTGCAGCGCGTGAGGCTGTGATGGAGCACTTTATGTACCAGTAAGTACTTGCTGCTGATGAACCATGTTTAGGCTTTCTACATGCACCGTTTAATTAATTGCAGAGCACAGTGCCTAAGGATGCAAGCTGTGCAATTACAAGATTACATGTGGCAGTTATTACACTTACAAACATTTCATTATCCTGTTATGTAATCCCGAGGTGTCCTCACGCTGTGGTGTGATTAGAAAAGCTACAGTCCAGCTTATTATATCACCGGGCAATGATATACAGATATTCTTGTGTGTGTGTGTATATAAGGAAGACTTTGCCCACCTTATTATCTCTAAGACTGGCCAACGTGTTAAATGGATATTCTTGTGTTTATAGAGAACCCCCTGTCCACCGTATTATCGCAAAGGCTGGCCAATGTGTTCTAGTAAGACTATACTCCTCTATATATAGAAAATGCACATGTTAAGATTTCTTAGGCTGGGCATGAATACTACTCTGATTTTTGTCTATTACCGTCTGTAAGACAGGCCTGGTGTCGATGTGTATATCTGAAATGCATAGAGCAGCATTCTGTCTGTACATGACAATAGACAAAGCATCCTAGCTCTGTCCCAGGTACAATAAATCCATGCATTTTTTATAGATCCAGCGAGGGCTCCGAGAACTTGCTGGCTGTCTTATGGTGTGTCAGGAAGGACTGTGTCATAGTGACCTGCTTGTGCTGTCACTATGCCCCTCTATAAGTTTTCGGGAATTATGGATTAAAAAGGATTTTGCATGTACTCTCATTTATATCACTGTTTTGAGACCTTAATCTGGGATTTCAGGGGCACCACTACAGCTAACTGACTGACTCCACTCTCATTTCCCTCTTTTCAGCCAGCTGCAAGTCATGCGGACCTGGGTACAAGACACCCCTGGATGCCATGAAAGGTATGCTGCTAATGTGCCAGGTGGAGTGTTGCAAGGCATGCTGGATAATCAGGATAATAAGTGTTGCTGATGTGCTTTTAGTCCATGTCCTTCCAGTCTGGTACATCATTAGAATATAACGGTACTCCCTGTAGACGGCTGCCATGATGCCTGGTATCAGAGTGGCTGTCTGCAGGTTACAATCAATGACAATTGTTATATGTTGAGCTGCCTTTTCTGTAATAAGTGTGTGCTATAGTGTTCTGTATTTATTTATCCATTTCCAGGTTGCTAACTGCCACATCCCAGGAACACACCGTGCGTAGGATTGCCCTGGCTGTTGTTTTGAAATAGATATTGTGAGTTGTTAAAGTTACGTTTATCTCTTGTATTGTTTTTACAGGTCCCAGAGAGAAGATAGTTTATCTGCCATGCATCTATCGTTCCACTGGCATTAAGAAACCTGATTACTTGGCTACCGTGGATGTGGATCCAGATTCAGCAACATATTCCCAGGTAAAACTAGAACCCCACTGTGAGGTACTATCATCCAGAAACATGTCTTGGGGTAGTATCCTCAGACCCTACAAGCAAACAGAGAGGCTCATTAAATTAGTGTCTAGTTTCAGATAAGCTAAAGGCTAGTTGAAGATGTGTGAGAAGACATTCTGAGCAGCAAGGGCTAAAACTAAAACAAGTAGTAAGGTTGTGAAGCTGAACGTTACCATGTGTAAAACTACTTTCCACGATGAAGACTTTGTCCACCTGAATCTTTGAACAATGTTCCAGGTCATTCACCGTCTGCCGATGCCCCATCTGAATGATGAGCTCCACCACTCGGGCTGGAACACCTGCAGCAGCTGCTTTGGGGATCACACCAAAACCAGGGACAAACTGATCCTGCCTTGCCTCATTTCATCCCGGGTCTATGTGATAGATGTGGGCACAGAGCCACGGGCTCCTCGTATTCACAAGGTGAGTACTGGCCACAAAACTGCAATATGTAGACCCCGGTGAAGGGTTATCATTCTGTGTGATGATTTATTAAGGGAAGTATCCTGTAAAAAGAATCCCGTGATATATCCATATACTAATATGCAACATATCAGAAGTGGATTATTCACCGTAACTCTATGTAAAGACAAACATACTATTTGAAGTTATATTTGTAGCCTGACATAGAAATTTCTCTTTTTGTTTTATTTCACAGTTCATATATAGCACTGTTATCGAATTAGGTATAAATGACATAGGTAGGAGAAAGGAATATATAATTAAGCATAGTGATACAAGCTGATACAAATCTAACACCTGTGGCAACTCCAACAAAGTGCAATGGAAGATGACCCGTGAGCTTACAGTCTAGAGGCATATTGTGCGTTAAGACAATAGGTTGTATGGAGAAAATGCAGTAGTTAAAATATAAATGCATGCATGAGTATTCTATTACAATGAGTATACAGTAAATCAAGTAGCAGCTACAATAAAATAGACAGCAAACATGTTTGATAAAAATCAAGGCAGTTGGAGAGACTTATTTTCTGGAAAGCCTACAGTGAAGACAAGGTGTGTGGTGGTACTTACCTTATCTGGGGCCAGCTAGATGTCTTCTTCTGAGCGGGCCATGTGCACTGACCGCAGTGAGCAGTCATGCGGCCCGCCTCGCACTAGAATCGCGGCTCGCGTCACAAGCGCGCTCTTAAAGGGGCAGTCGGTTCAGGATCCCATTTGCCCATGTTATTCCGGCACCCCCACACACGCACATTTTGGGGGCGTAGGCATGAGGTTTGCCAATCAAATGTTAAGTAAAGGCTATTTAAACCGTGGTTTCTGTTTCAGTACCCTTTAGTGCGTTCCTTGATCTATTGTGTTTATTCTGGTATTGACATTGGCTTTGTTCCTGACTCTGAATTTATCTTTAACGCTTTCCTGCCTTGTTTGCCTATATCTTTGATTATCGTGTACCTGACTCTGGCTAGTTCTTGTTTTTGTTATCTCTCCATTACCCTGACCTTGGCTTGTCTCTAACTACGCTTTATCTCTGTCTGACGTTTAGTCCGGCCATTCTAAGGCCCGCTATACGTTATATCCTAGTTTTGTCCCTTGCTATCATAAACTCTGCGTGTGGGGGTATTACACCGTGACAAGGTGGAGGTGAGTGTAATTATGTCAGGTGGACAATAGAGGTAAGTGCATGCCTAGCTGGGTGAAGTGTTGGGGGTCATTTTGAATTTGAATGGGGAACAGAAGCCAGGATGAAAGTGGTCAGAAGCATGAAAATGTGGGAGAGGGATGTAGCCAGGTACGTTGAACTTAGATGAAATGACACCGCTTTATAAATGTTTTTATGACCTGAGAATGAGATGGAACAGATTATACTGGAATTTGAAAGGTCACATTCATGGTCTCATATTGCAATCTCTGTTGTCTACAGGTGGTAGAACCAGAGGATGTGCTTAAGAAAACGGGCCTGGCCAATCTGCACACCTCTCACTGTCTGGGCTGTGGGGAAATCATGATCAGTTCATTGGGAGATGCCTGCGGAAATGGAAAAGGTGCTACCACCCTGTTTATATATTTATAGACTCTTGTAACTGTACCTGTAAGGTTATTCTCTGCAGTATGTGGTCCCTTAAAGTGGCACTACGTACATTATACTTTAATGGCAACACTGTCTCCCCATAATGCTAACCAGGTCTCCTATTCTGTGTCAGGAGGATTTGTGATACTGGATGGGAAGACATTTGAAGTGAAAGGCAACTGGGAGGTGGATGGACATGCTGCACCTTTAGGCTATGATTTTTGGTACCAGCCCTATCACAACGTCATGATTAGCACTGAGTGGGCGTCTCCGAATACAATTCGTGATGGTTTCAAGATAGAAGATGTGATTGCTGGTAAGAGTCGGAAGGATTAACTGGAGACTTGGATTTATTAAATGTCAATTCATCAAATTGCGCTAACTTTCACCTTTTGGCAGGTCGTTATGGGAGTAAACTTCACGTATGGGATTGGACCAAACACACTCGCATTCAGACACTAGATTTGGGTCAGGAGGGACTGATCCCATTGGAGATACGCTTCTTACACAATCCACGCGCTGATCAAGGATTTGTTGGTTGTGCCCTAAGCAGCTCTGTATTTCGTTTCTACAAGACTGAGGTGAGCTGACAATGGGTGATTGGGATATAGTGAGTCAAATCTTCTTTGTTGTTGTCTAGTATTAAAGTATAATATTGGACAAAGTGATAGAGGGGAGCATGGGGAAGTGGCAAATTGGAATAGACCAATAACTGCTCTGAGACTTGCTGACCGGATAACTGATCTTTGGTCTGGTCGCCTATTGAGTGAAGGAACATAGTACACAATGTGGCGTAATTCACTTAAGCAAGGGACCCAGTGTCTACCCCTGCCTGGTTGATGTCTAACAGATCCTTTCTTGGATTTCATTACTTCAGGATGGAAAATGGGCAACTGAAAAAGTGATCCAGGTGCCAAATAAGAAGGTTGCGGGTTGGGCAATGCCTGAAATGCCAGGTAGGTGGGAGGACAATAATTATTAGTCATGATTATCTGTAACTAACCACCACCATAGGGGTAATCACTGCAGCTCTCTATACCTCCAGCTGATACTAGATGCAGTTTGGGGGACCCCACTCTGCCCCCATGCTTAATTATCCTGTTCTCCTTTTTACTTTCAAAGGGCTTATCACTGACATCTTAATCTCACTGGATGATAGATTCCTGTACTTCAGTAACTGGCTGCATGGAGACATCAGACAGTATGACATCATTGACACCCGCAAACCCAAACTGGTGGGACAGGTGAGCTCAAAGTTGGTTCATAGAGAAAAGGCCGGTGCCTTCAAAATGTTTGGTGCTCTAGAATGAACTAAAATCAGATGAAAATGTGGAAAGTCTCTGTGGCTTGCTTGAAATGACTGAACTATATTTTTCACTTTACTTGGGATCCAGTAACCTCCCTTAATGCTGCCTTGTGATGTCTAATTTATAACTACTGATACAACTTTAAGGTTACTAAGGTGTAATATAAATATAACTGGGTGCATGGTTCTGCAGAAGATGCGCAACATTGGAATACAATCTGATATCACTCAATGGATTCATTTTAGTATAAGTGGATTTTATGCAACATATTAATTGTGGCATTTTCTGCGTTCACCCAATTTGTTAATTGTAACATTGTCAGGATGGGATATAATTCAACGCACAGAATTTGGTCATACCTCACAAGTTAAAATAGAAAACGTAGTTCCATATTACAGGTCCTTAAAGGACCACTATAGGCACCCAAACCACTTCAGCTTAATGAAGTGGTCTGGGTGCCTGGTCCAGCCAGGGTTAACCCTTTTTTTTTATAAACATAGCAGTTTCAGAGATTCTCGGAATTATTTTACCTTGAGCAGTTAAACTGTTTGCAAATGGTTTATCCCCAAACCTATGAAGACTGTGCCTGTCTGCTCTGCCCAGCAACATCCTAAGGTGGTCCAAAGCTTCAATTGGGAAGCCTTGGCCTGGACGGCACTGATAAGCTGGGAGCAGCAGCTGATGCTGTTAGCCTGTCACTAGCTTCCCATCTATAGAACTGAGTGAAAAATGGTACTATTGAGAGTTGGTTTGGTTGCCTCAATGGTCCTTTAACTATTTTCCCTTACCACCACTATTCTCTCCTGTTTCCCCCCCAATCTCCATGTGTGCCTCTGCTTGATAGTTAACTTTCAGGGCTATTAACTAAAGTGAGAATTAAAAAAACTTAAAATTTAAAACCAAAGTCGAACTGGAAGAATAACTTATTATCTAGCTCGGCTCCAGCTCTAGCTCGGCTATTTTGGCCTTGCCTTGAATTTGAAACTTACTTTGAATTCCTGACAATTCTCACAACAGTGAATATCGCTGTTGGTGTCACATGTTGCACCTAATGTATACATATTGCTCCATCCCACACCAGTACATTTATATATTCTAAAGAGGAACTGTCTCCTTGGAGGTAATGGTAGATTCTAACAGCTACCTAAAAATGTAGTTCTTAATTGTGCTATTTTTATTAATTTTTTTACATTTATTTTCAAATCCTGTTTTAGTTTTTAAAAATGCATTAAATGTTGAGCTTGTCTGGCACAGCCTGGCATTTAATACAAACTGTCCCTTGATTTCCTGTGCTCCGCCCATGAATATGCATTTGCCCAGAGTGAAAGTTATTTCTGGGCAATTGCGTTAATGGCATCTCTGGCAGAGAGCCACAAATAGCACCTGGAAGTGATTTTGTACCAATTCCTGATCAAACCATGGCAGCATTACCGTAGTATCCTATTTACTTATTTTGTCTTCTACCAGGTGGGTAATCCTATTTATACGAACTTCGTAGCTTGTTTCCTGTGCTATTGTTGTGAATGGGAGGAACTAACACACCGGTTAATGTTGCCATGGTAATTGATCAAGAAAAGATAATTATGGTATGGCAACAATGTGCCTTATTGTTTCCTACTACGTTTGTATGTGTGCATGCGCACGCTCGTATAATAGATTTTCTTTCTCTAACTACATTGCAGATATTTTTAGGGGGCAGCGTGCTGAAAGGAGGACCAGTGAAGATACTGGAGGACTCAGAGCTTAAATCACCACCTGAGCCTGTGATAGTAAAGGTGAATTCCTCTGTGCCCCCTAATGCCTTTTATCTGCAAGTGCTGTTTTCCGATTTGATCAGCCTTGTACTTCTTGTTCTTCCATTGAAAACCTTCATTGATCATTATTATTTTTTCCCTCCTGGGTTTAATTCAGGGAAGGCAAGTACCTGGGGGCCCGCAGATGATACAGCTCAGTCTAGACGGGAAAAGGCTCTATGTCTCCACTTCGCTTTACAGTGACTGGGACAAACAGTTCTATCCGGACATGGTGAAGTAAGAAGCTGGTTGTCTGTGATATCCTGTACTGTCTATGCATGTCTGTTGTTTTTACCTATTAATGCCTCATTAATGCCCTGCACCTGCCATCCATATCACCTTCCTGTATGTTATCTCTGCCTGTGTCGCCTCTGTCTGCTGCCTGTGTGTCCTCCCACCCTCTTCCCAGCATCTCTTTCTTTTCCCTATACCTCTCTCACACTGTGTATTTGTTTCAGGACAGGGGCTGTCATGTTGCAAATTGACGTAGACACTAAACATGGTGGACTAAAACTGAATCCAAACTACATGGTGGATTTTGGAAAGGAACCAGATGGACCTGTTCTGGCCCACGAGATCCGTTACCCCGGAGGAGACTGCAGCTCTGACATATGGGTTGTGGAAACAGACAAATAAAGAATCTGTGCCAAGGTCCCTGTGAGCTGCTCTGTGCCTCCATTCCTTCTTTTACAATCACGTGTAACCCTACAATAAAAAGCATATGAAAACTGCTCTGTGCTTGTTGTCTTGACCATAAACACAAGTCTCTATGCTGCATGATTGCACCAATATATTTAATGTTCTCATTAAATTGACTCTCGTGGTGCGGTGAGAGAATGTTTAATCTCAGCAAGTTTATATCCTGCTTTATTTGTAGAATATTGCTTATTGTTCAGTTCTATTCTCGGGGAAGAGTAATGACTTTGTATTTTGTCTTTGTTTGTTGTTAATATTCTTTATAATATATAAGGTTAGGATGAGGGGCAAAGATTTTAAATAATTTCAGGAAGTATTACTTTACTGAGAGGGTAGTGGGCACATGGAATAGCCTTCCAGCTGAAGTGGTAGAGGTTAACACAGTGAGGTAGTTTAAGCATGCGTGGGATAGGCATGAGGCTATCCTAGCTGTAAGATAAGGCCAGGGACTAATAAAAGTATTTCGAAAATGGGTCTTATCTGCCGTCACATTCTGATTCTATGACTCTCCCAATATAGGCCACAAATTGTGACGAGGGCCTTTGGTTTACGTTTGTGTGTAGAAGCGCTGGTAAACAGAGTATATTACAAGGGAAATAAGTGAGTGATCAGGCCATATCTCTGACATTACAGACATGTATTATGGACAGATGGAGAATTAATAGAGGTTTAAGATGACACATGCAGCACAGACCAACAGAGTACCTCCATCCCAGAGTAGACCACTCTCTAAGATCAAGTAAAACAAAATCTAGGACTTGGCAAATGTGTAGAGTCCAAGTCAGGTTTATTTAACTGTAAAAAGCAAAAAGCTCAAAAAAAGCCTCTCTCTCTCTTTTTTTTTTTCTTTTTTTTAATGGCTGTCTTGATATCGATATCACGTAGAGCGGTAGTTAAATCTTTGCATAGTATCAGTGCTGATATGTACATTCATTGGCATTATAAATGTGATACAGTACACGGACATTCCATTGGGTGATACCCCTGTCACAAACATATTTTATGGTACATATATATAGACTATAAATATATTAGGATATATCTGTCGGTTCTTTATGTAACTTGTCTTGTGTCAAGAAAAAAAGAGCCTTCTTGAGCTGAAACTTTGCTTTTCATATGGAGAGAAGCTAACAGAGATATACCTACCTGACTCTCTCCATCTTCCTTATGGGGTAACCTTGTTCAGCTCTCCAGTGTATTATCTGGACCATGACCTGGTCACTGATGTACCCTCATGCATGTACGGATGTTAATGAAAGATCACAGGATGTGCAAAAAGATGTTTCTGCCCACAGCTATCATTTGCGATGGCTGCTGACAATTGACAAAAATTGACAGTGGAACCCCCATGTTTTTTCAACATTTTAAATAAGACAAAATAGTCTTTGTTTTGTATTCTATTTTTTCACAGTCAATATGAGGGTTTTTAAAAGATTTTATCTTTACAAATTACTGTCTCACCATTATGCTGTCTCAGAGATGAGGGTTTCCATATCCTTCGATTGGCAGAAAATATCTGCTTCTTTTATTTACAGTATAGTTTGTCATGTAAAAGTGACACATACCATTCTCAGACAAGATCATATATCCCAGCACACAGGCCTGCGGTGGACGGGACCCTGAGGGGACGTTGGCACTGATGTAGACCATATCACAAGCGATGCCCATAATGGACAGGCCAAACTGGAAAAGGTGACAGGCTCACTGGCCACCCCCACCTTCAGGATGATACAGGGAGCACTGCACTGTGAGTGCGTCTTATGATGAGCTCACGCTGTACAGCCCGGGGACAGTTCCATGGTGTCCTCAGATGCCGGTGATCAGAGAACTAAAGTGGGACGACAGGCAGGAGCCCTAAATCTGGATTTTCCCATCAGAAGTAGGACTGTTGGGAGGCAAGCAATGTGGAAGAAGCCTTTTCTATATGTTGTGTGTACATCTTTCTGTCTCATTAAATTATTCACTAATATTATTCATAGGCTGGTCTAAGCGTGTTTTGGAGATTTTATCAAACTTGCTAAACTATTCAATCCTGCCAATAAATAACATTATCCTAACATTGTTGGAAGCCAGTGGATTATTCAGAATGATTCATCCACTTCTAACCATTTGGCTTAGAATTGCTTCTTAAAAGGAACCAATTATCCCGAAAACAACAAGCCGTTTCAATCATCCTTAGTAACGACTAGAAGAGCTCTTGCAGCGGTTTATGAGATAAAAGTAGGTATCCTTTACCTTGTAGTTATTTCTTAAATGTAAACCCCATGGTTCTTGCATGTCTGGCGGTAATGCAAAAGCAGCTTTGGATCATAACTGCCTTTTAATCCAGAGACTATGTCCATGTATGCTTGTAATGGGTTAATCAGTGCAGAGTTGGCAGAAACAAGTATCTACCATACTCCGCAATAAACTGGGAGGCCGCTCTTTAATACTCTGGCTGTAAAACTTTTTATACAAGTTTATAGGTTAAAAGCCTTCTTGTGTGATGCAAGCTCTACCAATATGAAAGGTTATAGTTTAATTGAAGACACGTGATTTAATTCTTGGCAGTAACTGGCGTGGTGTTCTTCCAATATTGGTTTTACTACTTAAAGCGTGTTTAAATGCCTCCATGTAGGACTAACTCTGCCCCACAAAAATATATAATATATATATGTGTGTGCGCGTTTGTACCTTTGTAGAAGATAAATCATAAAACCATCCATAGTATTTTGGGTTTGTGTCAAAAGCATTATGGTTACACGCACATGTGCAGTGGTGTATCCTGGTTTTGTACTGCCCTAGGCAGGACAAAACTCAGGCAACCCCCGCGCCACTCCCACCCAACCCTTCCCCCCGCCCCGCCTTCTAAATACACACACACATTCACTGACAGATACGCTTACACTAGCTAACAGACACACACACACTAACAGACACACACACACACACACACACACTAACAGACACACTGTGGCAAACCTAGCCACTTCAGACAATATTTCCCACTTAAGACTGTATTTAAGTTTGTGTGATACTGTGGCTTTAAGACTTCCTGAACTGTCCATGTTCCCTATTCTATATTGTATGTGAACGAGAGCATTCATGCAGTAGTTTTACGAACAGTGAATTTCAACACTTTTCGTGAAACGAACAAACTACCGAATAGGAGACCACACACAGGAGGTCCTGTGGCTCCCATCAAGGATCGCAACAATGTATCTTTCAGCAGTTAATAGATGTTCACGGTGGCCGCCGTTCGGATACCGACCACGCGGCGGCCATCTTGGGTCCTTTGTTAGCCCAGCGGTATTTGGTCATTGAGTGCCTGGAACTAAAATTGGCTACTCGACGGCACGAATACCGCTGGACTTCCAGGCCGTTCGGGAGCCCTGGTCTTTCGGTACTTTATCTCTGTATGTGTATTCGTGACTTTGTGAAGAATATGTGTTCAAGTGTATTTCGTGCAGCATTCGGCTAATTGTGCTGGGATCTAAGCGGTAAGTATGCGCTCAGACCCCAGCTATCTGCCGAACGGTCATTCGGTATAATAGCACGAATAATGTTAAAGTTATAGATTTTTATGTAAAAAGCCAGTTCTGCTGCACGGAGGTATAATCCACTTAACTGGATATTCTAGTGGGAGTATCCCTCTTGTACAGCAGTGCATGGTGGGAGAAATGTTCTGGTTGTTAAGTTCCCCATGTAGTCCCCTACTGTACAACCCCTGTAAAGTCAGTAAGGAAACCCCTTGCATGGGGAACCACATAAATACTGGAGCTTGTGAATAAAACCTCCATTGACTCCCAGCCTATGTGTCGTCTAGTTCTTGGGAAGGAAGGATCTGTATAACGCTACGGGATTATTTTATGCTGTACTTGTTTTACCTGAATTATTATATGCCGCTCCTGTCTACCAGCGGTGATATTGTGGATTATACTGCCTCTCCACTACACACACACACACACACACACACACTAACAGACACACTGACACACACACACTAACAGACACACACTCACTCACTCACATTAACACTTTTTTTTACTTAATCCACCAATCAGAGCGTTATGAGTCAAATTACACAGCGTAGGAAAATTGCAAAGAACTTTCCCATTCTGTGTAAAATGACAAAGAGCACTCTGATTGGTGGATTTCAAACCAACCAATCAGAGTGCTGTGACAGGTAAATGTAGAGACTTACCTGTCAGTCTGTTCATTTACCTGTCAGAGCACTCTGACTGTATGGCTTAAACCCACCAATCAGAGTGCTCTGAGCCTAATTGCAGGGCGGGGCAAGGATTACATTTTTTTTTAGCTGTTTTTTTTTTTGTTTGTTTTTTTTTTTTAAGTGCGTCGGTTATTATGGATTTTTTATTTGGCCTTTTAAAAAGAAAACATCGAATGGTAAGTTTTTTTTTTACAGGTACTTAGTTAAAGGTGTCCCCCTCATTATTTTTAGGGTGAGGGGGGTAGGTAAGGGGTTAATTTTTTTGGGGGGAGGGGGTGACTAGGGGTTTGGGGACCCCTAGTCACCTGGGAGGGGGGGGTTAACATTTGTTTAGGGCCCCCACCCGCCGCTCAGGGGTGGGGGCTAGGGGGGAGGACATTAGGTCCCACCCCTTATTCCAATTTAGGGCCCCCACCGCCGCTCAGGGGTGGGGGCCAGGGGGGAGGACATTAGGTCCCCCCCTATTAGTATTTAGGGCCCCCACTCGCCGCTCAGGGGTGGGGGCCAGGGGGGAGGACATTAGGTCCCCCCCATTCCAATTTAGGGCCCCCACCTGCGGCTCAGGAGTGGGGGCCAGGGGGGAGGACATTAGGGCCCCCCCTTATTAGTATTTAGGGCCCCCACTCGCCGCTCAGGGGTGGGGGGGAGGACATTAGGTCCTCCCCCTTATTAGTATTTAGGGCCCCCACCCGCCACTCAGGGGTGGGGCCAGGAGGGAGGAGATTAGGTCCCTCCCCTTATTAGTATTTAGGGCCCACACCCACCGCTCAGGGGTGGGGGCCCGGGGAAGGACAATAGGTCCCCCCCATTATTTTACATTAGGGCCTCCACCCGCCGCTCAGAGGTGGGGGCCAAGGGGGGGCAATAGGTCCTTTTT